CTCTGACTTTCAGCCGTGAGCGAACCGGTTTGCTCCGATTTTGAAGTGGGCCCGCCCGTCCCTGCGTTATCCTCATCTATATTTCCGTTTCCGAAGCCCAGCTGATCAGCACAGCAGAGTGGATTGCCAAGCCTCAGCTGTTTTCCTTGCCAGCAGCAATGCGGAAAGTGAGTTTCTCCAAACTGTGTATGTGTGTGCTTAGCGAATTGGTTGTTAAACCGGTCGGATCCCACCCACCCCTAACCTGAAGGCAAAACAAGAAGCAATGGATGGAAACTAACCAAGGAGAGAAGCAACTAAGAAATAAGGGGAAATTTCCTGACAGTGAGAACGATTAGCCAGTGGAACTGCCTGCCTCCAGAAGTTGTAAATGCTCCATCACTGGAGGTTTTGAAGAAGAGACTGGGCAGCCATTTATCAAGGATGGAATAAAGTCTCCTGCTTGAGCAGAGGGTTGGGCTAGATAACCTCCAAGGTCCCTTCCAATTCTGTCATTCTGTGAAATCACTGTTGATAATAAGGTTGGGAAAGGAGGGAGGAAAGGAAGGAAGGGTCGTTCGCCCACCCCTCCATCCCCCACCAGCAGCCTGACCGTCGATTCCACCTGCCCCAAATAAATAAAATCCACTTTGGACTGTCTTAAGATTTCCTGAGTGCAAAATTCCTTCTGGGGTTCTTGAGAAGCTTATCGGCTTGGATGCCGGAGAATAAACTAAGCTGGAGTCGTTTGACGCAGATTTCCGAAGGCGGCTTGCCGAGAAGATGAAATTTTTATTTCTTCTTGCCAATTTGCAACTCGTTGGCCTCGGAAGGGAAGGAAGATTAATCGCAATTTCGCCTCCCTCCCGCTCTAACCTGGTATGGCGTCTTCCAGATGTTTGGGGATTACCGGGCACAGAACGCCCACCAAGCAGGACCAGGCAGAGTCTATGTTTTCTTCCTAATCCTCGTTTGCAGCTGTCTCCCGGCTTTTGGGGAGGCATAACGGCCTCACACAGGGCAAAACTGCACGGCGTAGCTCGCTTTGCAAATTGCCAGTTCTACCCGCTTTGCGGGAGAAATTCCTGTTTCTCCTGCTTATTTTCAACCTGTGGATACACAGTCACCTTTTAAAAAAATATTGGAAGTTAAATGCATGGAGCAGTGTTGGCGAACCTTTGCGGCACCAAATGCCGAAACAGGAGCACGCGCACACGGGGGGGGGAGCGCCGGAAACCGGAAGAGCAGTACCCTGGGGTGCACACCTGCGCCGGGAAGCTGAACTTCCCATTTCTGGTGGGCGCATGTGCACCGATCACCTGGTCCTCCAGTTTCTGGTGCACATGTGTGTGCAAAGACCAACTTGCCAGTCTGCGGGTGCAGCAAATGTGACAAATACGAGCCAGTTGCCGAGTGCCAAAATTTTGATCACGTGACGATGGGGATGCTGCAACGGTCGTAAGTACGAGGAGTTATCGTCAGTCACATTTTTTCGGTGCTATCGTAATTTCAAAGGTCGCTAAATGGATGTTTGTAAGTCAAGGACTATCGGTAAATGTGAATTCCTTCTTCTTGTTTGAAAATACAGTAGTCCTCGACTTACAACAGTTCATTTAGCGACCGTTCAAAGTTACAACGGCACTGAAAAAAATGACTTGTGACCCGTTTTTCATACTTACGACTGTTGCAGCCATCCCCATGGTCATGTGATCAAAATTCGTACGCTTCGCAACCGACTCACATTTATGACGGCGACAGTGTCCCAAGGTTACGTGATCTCCTTTTGTGACCTCCTGACCAGCAAGCCAGATTCACTTAACAACGATACTCACTTAACAACTGCGGCGAATTCCTTTAACCGCTGTGGCAAGAAAGGGGTCAAAATGGGTGCACAACTCACTTAACAAATTTCTCGCCAAGCAACGTAAATTTTGGACTCAAATTGCAGTAGTAAGTCAAGGACTCCCTGTCAGGGAAAAAAAATCAAATCAAATAAACTTTTTTTCCTTTGCAAGACAACAGACTGCCCGAGCCTTAAAATCCTAAACTTGCTGGTAGGATGATTTTAATTCACAGCTCTTACAAATAGAATGAGCTTATGACGTTTGAAATCTCTCTTTATTTTGCAGTCTTTCTGCTTTAAATCTGTTTTTATCTCCAGAAGAGGGTTTTAAAGATGATTAAGGAGAAAAGATCTTTTCTCCATACAATGTTGTAATAGGAAATCTTAAGAGGATTGGGGCAGGATTGGATTCGGCGGCTACGTCGACGCTATTCTGAAATTCTTCGAGGCTGACAATGCGCTTAAAGCCGGACAATTAAAGAGCTCTAATTTGGACGCGGTTAGTTTTAACTACCTCCCTTCCGCCCTTTGGCACGTTGTTGTGCGAATGCAGTACTTTACATGAGTTCCAGTGGTGGGATTGAAATAATTTAACTACCGATTCTCCCGAACCGGCTGAATCCACCACTGATGAATTCAGGATCCAGTGGTAGACTTTACAGCCGTATACATATAGCCATATACTCATTATAATGAGCCGAGGTGGCGCAGTGGTTAGGGTGCAGTACTGCAGCTACTTCAGCTGACTGCTAGTTCAGCAGATCAGCGGATCAAATCTCACCGGCTCAAGGTTGACTCAGCCTTCCATCCTTCCGAGGTGGGTAAAATGAGGACCCGGATCGTTAGGGGGCAATATGCTATTTAGTATACTGTCTTTGGTGTAAGCCGCCCAGAGTCCTCGGAGAGTGGGAGGCATAGAAATATGACAAATAAATAAATATACAGTAGTGGCCAAAATTGTGGAAACCTTTTGGAAAAAGTCTATTTTTGAGGTTTGATGGCTAATAATAACACCACTTTTTTGGGGGGGAGTAATATCATAAAATTATATATCAATGGAAAGACAATTTAATCAAGAATGTTAATGCAACGAAGTTTGTTCAATTATCTGTGTTCTATGAAAAGTTACAGCCAAATAACCAGAAAAAGGTAGCACAACTGGCTTAGGTTGATATCAGGTAGCTTTCCTTCAACAGATTTGCTTAATGACTGTGCGAATTGCTGTGATTGCCTTCGCAGCTGTGGCACAAAAGATTGTTAAATCGGGCGTGGCTCACTTAACAACCCCTTTTGCTTAACAAGGGAAATTCTTGACCCAATTGTGATCATAAGTTGAGGACTGCCTGTAGCTAACCATATAGCTAAACAACTTGTTAAAATTTTGGTTTTTATGTTTGCATATCATGCAAAAATGAGTTTTATTTCTGGGTGTGGATGAGATGTGGGACCCCAGTCCTGTGAGCCAGGATAATGTTTCTTAACCTTGGCAACTTTAAGATGTGTGGACTTCAACTCCCAGAATTACCCAGCCATCGTGCTGACTGGGGAATTCTGGGAGAAGAAGTCTACAAATGCTGCATGGGGAATTCTGGGAATTAAAAATTCACAAATTCTGGCTGAGGAATTCTGGGAGTTGAAGTCCACAAATGCTGGTTGAGGAATTCTGGGATTTGAAGTCCACAAATGCTGCCTGGAAATTCTGGGAATTAAAAATCCTCAAATGTTGTCTGGGGAATTCTGGGAGTTGAAATCCACAAATACTGCATGGGGAATTCTGGGATTTAAAGTCCACAAATACTACCTGGGGAATTCTGGGTGTTGAAGTCCACACATCCTGCCTGGGGAATTCTGGGAGCTGAAGTCCACAAATGCTGCCAGGAAATTCTAGGAATGAAAAATCCACAAATGCTGGCTGAGAAATTCTGGGAGTTGAAGTCCACAAATGCTGCCTGGGGAATTCTGGGAGTTGAAGTCCACCCATCTTAAAGTAGCCAAGGTTGAGAAACACTACTCAGCATCACCATATATATTTATGCAGGAAGTGAGGGCAACTAAAGGGGGCTTGTCTCCAATATGCTAGGCTAGGGGACTTGTGGAAAAGAAGAGAAATATTGGAGACAAATATATACGGTAATTTGTCTCCAATATTTCCCTCCTTTTCCACAAATCCCCCACCCCGGCATTCCCTAATCCTACAAACCCCCTTAAGTTTCCCTCACATTCTGCATCTGCATCCACAACATCCTACACATCTTGGTTGATTGAATCATTGGTTCTGTCTGTTCTCTTGGGGATCAGCTTGTTGTAAGAACTCAATCCTTTGGTAGCTTCTGGGTGTTTTGGTTTTTTTTGCAATTGCTGAAATTAAAGCAGGGGTCTCCAACCTTGGCAACTTTATGACTTGTGGACTTCAACTCCCAGAATTCCCCAGTCAGCATTTGTGGATTTTTAATTCCCAGAATTCCCCAGTCAGCATTTGTGGATTTTTAATTCCCAGAATTCCCCAGTCAGCATTTATGCACTTCAAATTAGAAATTTTATGATGTTTATGTGTCTATATTTTTCTTGACTGTACACCGCCTTGAGTCCTACGGGAGAAAGGCGGTATAGAAATATAATAAATAAATAAATAAATAAATAAATCCCAGAATTCCCCAGGCAGGATTTGTGGATTTTTAATTCCCAGAATTTTCCAGTCAGCATTTGTGGACTTCAAATCCCAGAATTCCCCAGGCAGGATTTGTGGATTTTTAATTCCCAGAATTCCCCAGTCAGTATTTGTGGATTTTTAATTCCCAGAATTCCCCAGGCAGTATTTGTGGAGTTCAAATCCCAGAATTCCTCAGGTAAGATTTATGGACTTCAACTCCCAGAAATTCCCCAAACAGCATTTGTGGAAAGCTGGCTGAGGAATTCTGGGAGTTGAAGTCCGCAAGTCGTAAAGTTGTCAAGGTTGGAGATCCCTGAATTAAAGCACGCCTGAATGAGATGACCTTGAGTTTTTTCCTTCCTTAAAAGAGAGGCTGAGATTTTTTTTTTTCCGGAGCACCCCCAAGAGGCGAAGGCAACATGCTTCCTTGGAATGGGAAAAATGCAGCCGAGCATTTGCCGGGAACCGGTTGGGCCTGCCCTGCAGGGTGGTGTTCCTTCCTGAAACTCGGATCTCTCTGGAGTTTCTCCTCCTTTGCATTCAGCAGCTGGATGCTCCTGTCAGCTGCTCTCGCTGCAAGGACGGACTTTCGGGAGCTGTGGATGATGGAGACCCTACGCAGGAGCCTTTCCCGTTGGAAGAGGTACCACATCAAGGTCCACCTGGCCGAGGAGGACCAGCTGCTCCCGCTGACGGTGCGGCCGACGGATACCATGATGGACTTGAGAGCTTACTTGGTCCGGGAAGGCGTCACGTCTTGGAAAAAAAACTTCCACTACAATGCCCGTCAACTGGATGAGCACGAAACGGTCAAAGAGGCCAAGATCCAGAACGGTTCGGTGGTCTTGCTAGTTAGCGAGAAAAGGTAGGTTTTTGGGGGGGAAGGGATGGAGCTTCTGAAAGAAAGTTTGAAAAAAAAAAAGGTGTGTTTGTGTTTGTGTGTGAGTTGTTGTTGTTGTTGAAACAGACACCAGACAACCTCAGCAAGGTGATCGCATATCCGGGGATCCTGCCTACCTGCCTGCGTATTTGTTTATTTTTCTTAGCTGTCTGCCTGTTTGTCCATCCATCTATTCATTTCAGCCTAGCCAGACACACCTCCTTTCATACCTGTGGGTGCCTGTCTGTGTGTGTCTGTCAATTATTTGTCTGTTTAGCTGTCTGGCTATGCAAACTTCCAATCCTCCAGCCAGCCCCCTTTTGGTCTGTACCTGTTGGTATCTGTCTATCTATCTACTGAGTGAGTTGTCCAGCATCATTCAATCAGTCTGTCTGTCGACCTATCACCATCCCTCTCTCCCCTCCCTCCCATCTCCATCATCACCATCAATCTTATTCATCCATCCATCAATCAATCTATCATCTATCTCCATCCATCCATCCATCCATCCTCGATTGATGTATCATCTATTTAACCATCTATCAAATATCTATTAGTGATCTTTACTGTTATCTATCTATCTTCTATCTATCATCTATCTATCTATCTATCTATCTATCTATCTATCTATCTATCTATCTATCTATCTCTACCTACCTACCTACCTACCTACTGTATCTCTCTCTCTCTCTCTCTCTGTTGGTCTGTCTCTATCTCTATCTACCTACCTACCTACTGTATCTATCTATCTATCTATCTATCTATCTATCTATCTATCTATCTATCTCTGTCTATCTCAACCTACCTACCTACTGTATCTACCTACCTAACCTACTGTATCTGTCTGTCTGTCTGTCTGTCTAACTGTCTATCTCTGTCTGTCTGTCAATCTATCTCTACCTACCTACCTACCTACCTACCTACCTACCTACTGTATCTACCTACTCTATCTATCTATCTATCTATCTATCTATCTATCTATCTATCTATCTATCTCTACCTACCTACCTACCTACCTACCTACCTACCTACCTACCTACCTACTGTATCTACCTACCTACCTACCTACCTACAATCTATCTATCTATCTATCTATCTATCTATCTATCTATCTATCTATCTATCTATCTATCTCTACCTACCTACCTACTGTATCTACCTACCTACAATCTATCTATCTATCTATCTATCTATCTATCTATCTATCTATCTATCTACCTACCGTATCTACCTACCGTATCTACCTACCTACCTACTGTATCTATCTATCTATTCACCTATCTATCTGTCTGTCCGTCTGTCTCTTTTCAAAGTCACGTTATTGCTTATCTGCTTCCTAGCTCCCTTTCCCTTTACACAAAAATGGAAAAATCTGCAACAGATTGGCCACAATCTGATTCTGAGAAATATTATTATTGCAACCGGATGGAACTATGCATTAAAACGGGAAACCTGAAATGCCTCCCCTTGAAAAGGCCAAGGCTCCTGTGTTGCTGAGACAGACCGAAAACTGTATCTTGGGAGGGAGACTCATCAATGCTTTTTGCGATGGGACTTTAGACTTCTGGGGGAAAGGGGGGGTTGTGGAAAAATAATCTCCGGTTGTTACAGTTTTGAAAGCTGTGAATGTTGAGAAGGGCAAACAGGTTCAGGGAAAAATATTTTGGACCCTGATTTGCCACCTGCGGCTTCTTGCCTCGTTGCCCTTCCTTAGAAAGATGCCAACGACAGCAAGGATGTGACCAATTTCCATAGTTAACACCTTTCTGTAATTTTGGTTTTGCAAATAAAATAACCCCAGGAAATTTGAGTAAGTTGTTTGCTATTCGAAGCATCTGTCGGGATGTTCGGAAAATTCAAAAGACGGCTTCCATTCCATGTTGCAAATATTCCACCTCTGTCCTTTTTTAGGTGCACACATTAAAATGTGGCAGAATCATTAAGGGGCTGGCAGAAACCAGTGGAGCCATTTTGACTTTTTCGACCTTCCTGCCGATGCCCAAGTTTTGCAACATCTTGTCACGTTACAGGAGTGTCGGCAGGAAGGTCAAAAAAGTCAAAATGGTGGCTATTTTATTTTTTTTTAATTTTATTTCAAATTTATATACCGCACCTTCTCCCAAGGGACTCAGGGCGGTGTACAGCCAGATAAAAACATACAATACAAACATTAAGAACAATTAAAAGAATATATATTAATTTGGCCCCAGTTTATAACTGTGCAATCTTCTAAAAAGGGCGGACTCGCTGTATTTTTTCCTCATCTCCGTTGCAAAACTCTCCACTATTACGCATAATTATGCACGTAAAATTCCTAATTTGTCTGAATTTTGTACAGGGTTTCCTAATATACCTTTCCTTTGACACACACAGTTGGAAATAGGTCCTTTGATTGGGACGCCTCTTTGTTTTAAATAAATGCATTTATTTTCAATGCAAATGTCTGTTGTTGTTTTTTTTTAAGTGAATTCAGTTCAGTAACTCTTCATCTCTGCCAAGCTATGAGTGCTTCAGAGAATTGTACTTCCGATGAAATCTGTGGCATATTAAAAACAAACAAACAAACAAACATCTCTGCATTGTCAAGTGAATTTAGGCTGTGCTGGATTCAGCGCCTGTGTTATAGTTGTTTTAACTTATTGTTATTTTCCCGTAAGACGTGAGAACTCGTTTGGTCTGTGGTTAAGGTGCTGACCTAGGAACTGGGAACTGGGGAGTTCCAGTGTCCGTGTTAGGCATGAAAGCCAACTGGGTGACTTTGGGACAGTCACCAGGAGATTGGGAGTTCTAGTCCCACTTTAGGCATGAAAGCCAGATGAGTGACTTTGGGCCAATCATTAGGAGATGGTGAATTGTAGTCCTGCCGTAGGCATGAGAGTAGGCTGGGTGACTTTGGGCCAATCACCAGGAGATTGGGAGTTCTAGTCCTGCCTTAGGCATGAAAGCTGGGTGGATGACTTTGAGCCAATCACCAGGAGATGGTGAGTTCCAGTTTCCAGGTTAGGCATTGGACCCAACTTGGTGACTTTGGGCCAATCACCAGGAGATTGGGAGTTCTAGTCCCGCTTTAGGCATGAAAGCTGACTGGGTGACTTTGGGCCAATCGCCAGGAGAGAGTGAGTTCCAGTTTCCAGGTTAGGCATTGGACCCATCTTGGTGACTTTGGGACAATCACCAGGAGATTGGGAGTTCTAGTCCCACTTTAGGCATGGAAGCCAGATGAGTGACTTTGGGCCAATCATTAGGAGATGGTGAGTTCTAGTCCTGCCATAGGGATGAAAGTAAGCTAGGTGACTTTGGGCCAATCATCAGGAGATGATGACTTCTAGTCCCACCTTAGACGTCTGGTTATCCTTGGACTATCTACACTGGGGAGAATATATTTGACATATACTGTACATGCAGTAGTTTAACCTAGTGTCTTTTAACCTGGGCAACTTTAAGATATGTGGATCTGAACTCCAGAATTCCCCAACCAGCATGGCTGACTGGGGAATTCTGGGAGTAGAAGTCCACATATGTGTTGAAAAACCCTGGGATAGGCAGAACAGAAAGCTCACCACTAAAGAGATTGATGCGAGGGACACAGTTGATTTTTCTGTCTTAGATCCCCTCTTTTAATTTTTAATTCATTCATTTCATTTCATGAATTAATTCATTTTAATTCACCGGGGGGGGGGAAAGCTTGCCCCGTGAGCTTAGGTTAGCCCCCCACTTTTCATTTTCCTTTAGCAAATGTGACTTTCATTTATTAGGAAGGAAAATCGCATTAGTCCCGCCAATTCTAGAGAAGCCCGATAGCTCCTTTCCAGACTCACACATTTTATTAAAAAAGAGAAATTTCACTGTTTTTTTTTTTTTTATTAAAAGGTGAGAATTGAAAGCATGGGGTGGGCTTACCAGGTTCTTTCTGATTTGAGGAAGAAGGTTGAGCCAGCGATCAATTATCAAATGTTCAAAAATAGGAGATTTTAAAGGAGGGCCAGGATGTGTCAGTCAGTCAATCAATGAATGAATGAATGAATGAATCAATCAATCAATCAATCAATCAAGAGCCTTGGTAGTACAGTGGTCTAAGGCACCCTGTTATTAAGCTGGTTATTAAGACCAGCTGCCTGCAATTACTGCAGGTTCGAATCTCGCCAAGGCTCAAGGTTGACTCAGCCTTCCATCCTTTCTAAGGTAGGTAAATTGAGGACCCAGTTGTGGGGCAATAAGCTGACTTTGTATAAATATACAAAAGGATGAAGGCTATTGCTTAGCGCATTGTAAGCTGCCCTGAGTCTCCGGAGAAGGGCAGCATATAAATCAAATAATAAAAAAAAAATCAATCAATTCCATCTCCAGGTAGTCCTCAACTTACAACAATTTATTCAGTGACCGTTTGAAGTTACAACGGCACTGAAAAAAGCGACTTATGACCATATTTTAACAATGATGAGTGTTGCAGCATCCTCTTGGTCACATGATCAGATGCTTGGCAACTGTCTCATATTTACGACGGTTGCAGTGACTTTGGGTCATGCGATCACCTTATGCAATCTTCTGATGAGCAAAGTCAAGGGGGAAACCGGATTCCCTGATTCCATTTAACAACTGCAGTGACTCCCTTAACAACCACGGCAAGAAAGTTCGTAAAACGGGGCAAAACTCCTTGAACAAATTTCTCACTCGGCAACATAAATTTTGGGTTCCATTTTGGTCGTCGGTTAAGGATGAGCTCTGCGTATTTGTAAATATGCCCATCTACAGTTAGCTTAATTTTAGAATTCTTTTTTTTTAATCAAAATACCATGAAAAGGGGATAATCTGTGGATTACCCATATGGAAAAAACAAATTGGGAATATTAAAACATACAAAAATACGATTTTTAGAAACCAAGAAAATTGATGGCAGAAAAAGATCATCAATTCTGCCTCTTTTTTTTTTATTGAAAAAGTTTTACAATTACATTTTCTCCCCAATTTCCCCCCCCCAACCCTCC